CTCCCTCGGCTGAAAGGGCGAGTGTTTGGTCAGATGCGAGTCGAGCGCCCTAACCACCTGGCCATGCCGGGCCCAACGCTAGTGTCACAACGAATAATTTATATATATTTCTAGTTTCACTGGGATCTTTATGTTCTACCCTGTCTAAAGACTATTACAATACAATACTCTGTAAATATTTCTTACAGATGTTTGGATTAATTCTTGTCTCAAACAAACGAATATATACATTTTGTTTGCCTAGTAAAACAACTTGTCGTTAACGAAGAGTGACCTAGTGGCTAGGGTGCTCGACAGGGGAAGTATGGCATTAAAGGACTAGCGCGAGCAATATCACATGCTACATACTGGCTAAACAATTAAAATTTAAAAATCAATTTGTAAAAATGCATCAATTACAACAGCTCACGGGGCAATTGCCCGGTACCCCGGTGGGCCAATCTGCTTCTAGTGATCGACTCGTAATACATAGCCGCGACTTTGATTCCCGTTCCCAAAAACGCTCGCCCTTTTAGCTTGGGTGTCTTATAATGTTACGGTCATTCCCACTTTTCGTTGGTAAAAAGTGACTCAAGAGTTGGCGCTGGTTCATATTGACTATCCGCATTCCTTCTAGACTAGGTGCAGCTAGCGCGGATAGCACTCGAGTAGCTTTGCGCTAAGCTAAAAACAATTGGTGTAAAGTTTATGTTTATTCACTTTGTCTACCTATTGCCATATTTTATTTATCAAGCTGATAAAGCAGGCGCATATGGAATGACATAGTAAACTATGTTTACTCTTTTTTGGAGACCTTTTTAGTAATTCAACATTTTTTAACATTATTGAAAAAAAATCATTTTAACTAACGCGCTCTTCAAATTATTTTATTTCCTCATATAATGCTTGTTTTCAATTACAAATAACTTTATCTTTGGCTAGTAAAATGTTTAGAACTTTAAGTAAAGGTAGATATAAGTTTGCTTTGCGCTGAAAAATCAACAACCTATTACAACTGTAAAGTGGTGTTAAGTATCACAATGAAAAGAAATAACTGGTTCCTTTAATTGCTGTTTCCACCGCGCGGTATCGAAAACTCCAGATTCTAGAGTTTTAAGTGCGAAAATTTGCCGCACACTCACCGGGGGACGAAAAGAATTACACATAAGAAGAACGAAAAACAGAAACTATTTATATTAAACCAGCGCTGGTAAACTGTGACTACTTAAACCTCAAACATTAACCGCTAAATATGTCTAAACGATTGGGACAACTGCTGATCTAAGCCTAACTGAATATTGTCTTATAATATGCATTAATTCATACTTTTCATTTATAGTTTGTTTTGTTGAAAGTAGTTCGGCAATTCTTAAAGCACTAACGATTTTACGCTTGTATAATTAATAGCTGCTTTCTAACATTCTATTTACTTTTGAATAGGAATACAAGATGGCGGAATGTCCAAGGACAGTTGAAACCATAGCCGAAGATTTAACGAACGACACTTTGTTTGTTGACGTCAACACTTCCATCTTCATAGATTCCAGAACAGTAGAGCTAAAATCAGACATTCATCGCCTGAAGTTCCTTGGATACGGTGTTATAGGTTCCGTTGTGATCGGTTTGGGCATTTTGGGAAATTTAATTAACTTAGTGGTACTTACCCGCCCTAATCTTAAAGGTGTGACTTTTGTGTATCTTACTTGGTTGGCTTCTTCTGATCTAATGACCCTTTTGGTCAGTGTGACCTCTTTACTTCGACTTCATGGAATTCAGCCTCGTAGTTTTGCCGCATCTTTCTATTATGCGTATGTGGAGTTAGCCCTTGTTAACGCCTTCATGGCGAGCAGTGTTTTTCTGGTTGTTGCCCTAACCATTGACCGCTACTTCTCGATTTGTTTGCCTACCAGATACAAAGAAGTTCACAATGACCGCAGAGCTCGAAGATCAATAATAGCTGCCTATGTATTAGCGTTTTGTATCTACGTGCCCATTTGTTTCCAGAAGGAGCCCGTTCCTGTAATGAACCAACAAAATGAAACTATCTACGTCGCCTGTGAGAACCAGGATGTATTTAACCACACTGGATTCCGATTTTACTTGCTGATAAAAGAAATCATCGTGAGGATTGGGCCAGTGATTCTTCTAGCCATCTTGAATACTACAATCATTGTGGCGTTTAGAAGGACAGTCCGCAAACGAAGAGAACTTCTGAACAACTCAAAGAGTAACTACAGCCAAAAAGAGAGCAACAGGAAGTTCAGAGAAGAGCGTCGTCTAGTGGTCTTATTAGGTGGAATTGTGATTCTGTTCTTTGTTTGCATGACTCCTGCTGCTGTCTTGACCCTCCTGAACAGCGACCACAAAGAACTCGATTTTGGCTTCCAGCTGTTTCGTGCAATCGCCAACGTTTTAGAGCTTGCAAACTTCGCTATGAACTTCTACGTGTATTGTCTGTGTAGCACCGAGATTAGGAGGACGTTTCTACGACTCTTTGGCTGCATTCACACCAAACTTCCAGAAAAAAGCTACATCAGCCGACATTCATTAGAAAGCAGCACAAGGATGTAAATACAAATTCTTACTTTCTGTAGTTCATTTCTTGCTATTACAGCTTGTTTATTGTTCTTTTGTCTTTGCGTTTCTTAGTTGTGACTGTAAAAATAATAAATATCTGTCGTACTTCTGTGGATCTTTTGTGATTCGAGAATTATTGAAGAATCTCTCAGCGAGGATTTTTAATTTCAGTAAACAGATATTTCATGATGTTGTGCCTTTTGAAACAGAAAACGCCAAGAAAGAACTAAACTTGCAACCACTATTGAAGAGAAATATTAAACATTAAATTGCAAAAATGAATAAGTTATTCCTTAAGGTTTTACTTTTTCACACGTTTCGTCAGTATCTTGTTGGCTGTCTTCAATTTTATTGACTTTAAAAAGAATACGTAGCCAGTGAAATATGATTGTCCTCAATATCTTTCTTTGATGTTTCAACAAAAATAATTTCAAGATAACATTTAAAAGAGTATACATGTTTCAGACCCATTTGTCTAGAAGAAAGTGTTTTCTAGCGAAAAACACGCAGTTGTAATACTCACTTCGTGTACTTAAAAATAGTTTTAAACATACAAAACAAAATAATCTTTTTTACGTTATAGAATTTTTTCTAAAAAAACATTGACAAATTTCAAGTCAACTGATGATCTATCCTCCCGAATCCTCTCTGGTTAACACCAAATATCCCAACATCAAAATCACTGTTTGTTTCGGATACGTACACAAAGCTACTCAAGGACTAGCTGGGGCCGGGCATGGCCATGTGGTTAGGGCATTTGACTCACTATCTGCAGCTCGCGGGTTCGAATTTCGTCACCAAACATGCTTGCCCTTTCACCCATGGGAGCATTATATTGTGATGGTCAATCCAATTATTTGTTGGTAAAGAGCAGCCCAAGAGTTGGCGGTGGGTGCCTTCTCTCTAGTCTATCATATCAAAATTAGGGATGGCTAGCGTAGATAGTCCTTGAGTAGATTTGTATGAAATTCAACAAACAAACGAAACCAAGGACTGTCTGCTGTATCTATCCTTAACTCTAAACTTATGGTTGTTGTTGTTTGCAGTTAAGCACAAAGCTACACAATGGGCTGTCTGTGCCCTGCCCACCTTAGGTATCGAAACCCGGTTTCTAGCGTTGCAAGTCCGCAGACATACCGCTGTGCCACTTGGAGGCTTAAACTTATGGACTAGAGAGAATGCACTTAGCCGACAGCATCTTCAGTTAATCGAATCGAATAGCGGGATTTAACCGACATTCTTATAACACACCTACAGCCCCAGAATATGGAGGATGATTATTCGACAACGGGAGAAGAACTATGGACCCTCTGTTTCATTGTCCGGTTTCTAAGCACAAAGAAATTCTCAACACAGCACCAAAATGAAGAGACTGTGAAAGTTTCTTCTCTTTTTTGTATATTGTAATTTTAAATTAGAACATTTAGTGATTTAATAATATTTAGAATAAAGATTAATAAAAGCAGTTATATGTTTTGCAATTCACCAAGGCTACTAAATAGTGATAATAACTATAAAAGGCTTATTCCCTTTGTCACTCTGTCGAGAACGCTTTCACGTTCCTTTTTAGCTGCGACACAGCGGCTCATAGAATGGCTCTGAATTTGTTTTTGTTTTTTTTTCAAGTGCAAACTTTTAGCTCGTAGCTCCATCATCTTTGATCGATTTGAGATCTAATTAGTTTTGGACTCTGGAGGTCAAATCCTTCCAATTGATATGTTTGATCACGCCCAAGGTCTCATAGATTAGTTTACTCTAATGTTGCCTAAACAGATTTCAATTTGAGGGTAAACTAGTAGAGGTGCTGATGAGTAATCAAATCAAATCAGGTATATGCGCGCTCCACACATGGTATTGCTGTCGCACAAAAATATAATTAATAAAAAGGAAAATAAGATCTTATAGATTAATTTACTCTATTCCTACCTAAAAGAATTTCAAGTGCCGCAGCTATTGAGAACTTGCCAACTATGGTGTTTATGTTGAATGTTCATGTTGATTTATTAGAAAGGTTTCTTTCCTTACTGTTTTGATAACTTTGTTGACATAACAGCAAAATTGTTCAATTCAGAAGTTTTATGACATCGAGTTGTAGCCAAAAACAAATATAATTTACCAAGTACTGTTTCAGCTAGGCCTTACGTTACGTTTATGTATTAGGCCTAATGCTTAAATTAGACAACAAATAGGCCTACTATTATAAACGTTATAGAGTCGATGTTTAAAAAGTTTTCAGTGGTGAATAAATGTTAATTAATAAATATTCTTTTGGCATTTTAACACATATATTACCTACTTGGCATTAAAGCATAAAGAGAAATAAACGTTTATTACTACCAAATATCTTTTATCCTTTGTACAGTCGAAAGAGTTGAAAATTTGTGTCGGAATGTCCGTACTATATTTTCTACTTCCTGACCCAGAATACAGTGAAAAGGCTCAAGAGTGCTATTTAAGTCTATTTCAGAGTGCACATGTACTTTTGTTCATGATAACATTTCATTTTTCTGCGCAAGTTTTACTAACAATGTGGTGATTAAAGAATTACTTCCAGACTGATGAAACAAGTGAAGAGTAGGTATATTTTGGAGGTACAGACAAATTCGTTTTTGTTAATCATTCAACAATGGTTGCCTATCATTTTTGGCGGGCTTTTATACTAGTAAAAAACAGCCAATGTTTGAAGTTATCAAATATGTGTGCTTTTTACCCATTAAACCATCCAAGTAAACTTAATTTCACAGCATAAATCTATTGTACTGAGTTGATGGCATGGTATTTCACATAGTGCTGATAAAATATGGATGTATCAAAATAACTCAAAATCTAGAGGTGATTGACAAATTATGACTACATTTTTGAAATCAGCACCATCATATTACCCCGAATCACTTGAGTTTTCTTCAGTAGCAAAGTTTTTGTTGTCCAGTATTATTGAAGATAATATCATATGTTACCGTTATTATATATTGTATTGATGTAAAATTCTAAATATATTGTATATATATATATGCTATTTGTTCTCGATATAATTTTAGCGAATTGCACCGCTTTTGCTTAATTCCCACGCTTACCTGCTCCGCCTGGAAATCACGAAACTTTCACATTCAGTTTGCTAGAACATTCGAGAAGTCCCTCGACGCCCCCCTCTCACTCAGTTGATCACCTCGACTCGCTCCGTGCACAGTCAAAACAAAGTACGATCTTCTTTCTCGTATCCTACCTGCGATATAATCAAATTCTGCAAAACATTTTAGATTTTTTAAAATCGTTTAAACTCTAGTTATGTAAACATAAATTATTTTGTTTTTTAGAAAATCATTTGAAACGCTGACTGCCTCTAGTTCAAGAAAAGAACGAAAGTGCAAAAATCACCTAAACAGTTTCTTCTCCATTTATGGAAAATATTCTACAGTTTCACGAAGGAAAAACATCATACACACACAAGATGAAGGTAGCTTACTACCACAACTTTGGGTGTAAAATTGGTGACCAAGAAAAACATTTGGTTCCACATGTGTGTTGTATAGTCTGCAAATCTGGCTTGACGCAGTGGCTGAATAAGAAGAGAGCAAGTATGCAATTTGTAATTCCCATGGTCTGGCATGAGCCCAAACATCAAGAGGCAAGTCCATCTCAATGGATGTTTCAGTTACTTTACGAGTAATATGAATTAGAGGTTTCAACCCTACGTCCCCGCTGGTCAGCAATAGATTTATGGACTTGCCATCCTAAACTCCGGGGTTCGATTCCCCTCGGTGTACAGAGCGCAGATAGCCTCTCGTGTAACTGCTAGAAAACAAATCACAGTTTTTCATTCGTATAAATGTTGTTTGGAATAGTTGGGCTATCTGTGCTTTGCCCACCAAGGGTATCGAAACCCAGTTTCTAGCGTTATGATTCCGCAGACACATCGGAGGAAGGGGGATTTCGGCAGGAAAGAAGCGCATACTTTGCCTTTCTATTTTGAAAGAAATACTACCTTTAAACACAGCAGACAGTTGGAGTCGTAGCAAATAACCGAGAGCCGGCCGATAAGTGAAATATTTAACGACATAACAATTATGAATAAAGGTTTGTTTATTATTTCACTTGCGTTTGTGTATACTTCCTTTGCCGTCCGAGTTCGAAATTATTATTTGCAGTTCATTTCCTGAAACTGTTTTTTTTTTGGGGGGGGGGATACTTTGAAACTTTTCTGCTCGAAATCAGTGACGCTGGATATCGCAAAACTGTGTCTTTACAGGAAAGTATTGCGTTGTTAATTTATTTGTTGTTGTATTAAGAGGAAAATTATTTACTGTATCGCTATAAAAAGAATTAAAATAGGAATAAATTATTATGAGATACAATAATGAAGAACACATACACATCAACACTTGTTTTAGCATTAGATATTTCAAAGTCCCTATCGTATTACCTGTGATTTCTAAACGAAAAAGAGCCTAATAACAACATTCCCTTACTTTGTGCAATATTTAAAACAACTGTTAAATATCTAGCTCAAAAACAAAACATTTCTAACCCTTTTTTCGAGCATTTCGCCGATTATGTGAAGTAATGACAAGAAGATCATTCAGTGTACATCTTGTGTGTTATCTCTGATTTGATTTTGTTTTAAAGTAAACATACCTCTTCTTCCATTAAATAAACTCAGTAGAGACTGTGGCTTTTATCTAGTCAATGGTTACAAAATCTTTGGATAAATCTTGCTTGAACGTGTTCACATGATATACCACAAAACATACATTGGTTTCACACGCAAAAATCCACTTTTATTTACAAAGTCAGAAGACTTCGACATATGTTAATATAATGAATTTTAATTAGAACTAATAGTGTTGAGGACTATAGAACAGTCCTATACTCCAGGAAACGTGTTATAGACGTATAGTTCGGAAATTATTACCGAGTTGTACGAAATGTGCGAAGAAGTACAATTATTGCAAAAAGTATAAGCATCGGACACTTTTTTTAAAGACTCATGAAAGGATTATACATATGATATATTTAAATTGTAAATACCTGAAGATTAAGGACAGTGTATGTTCATAATGCATATCTTGCCCGCTGTAACTTAAATTTCTAGTTTCTGAGTACGAATGAAAACTTTTACTATTGTTCTACAAGACAATTTGGGGATGGTAACGCCTTATACATCTGGTGCCATGTTATAAACGTAAAGCCCATTGGTCCTAAAACAACTGGTTTCTTCATTTGTTATTTAGTGAGTAGCAAGTTCGGAAAAGCAAGAAACGAGTTAGTATTCTTGCTTATTTTTATTTTACCATATGTCAAGTTGTCAAAAGAACAGACAAAAGAAAATTTTATCACAGTGTTTTAATAGACACTTGGCAAGGTAAAATATCAAAAGCTTTAAACCCTGAAAACTTGCCTGTTTATCACGTAAATAATAGAAGCCACTCGCTTTTAAAATAAAAAAAAATATTTCGTAACAATTTGAGTTTTGTAATGATAAACCTTCATTGTGAGAATTAAATGTTTTATCCAATTGTACATCATCAAAATTTCAAGTGCTGATGTATTTTTTTTATATTGAACTTTAGTACTGCAAAGTCGATTTCTTTTCCTTTTGTAACAATAATAATAACTATTGGAGGCTTTAATAAATTTATATTTTCTTCTCAAGTGGAATGATTACATGAACAAATGGCTAATTATTTCCCTAAAAATTATACCAACTTATTTTTAAACATAAGTACATTAATTAACTAGTGCTTAATATAACAGGTAAAAAAAATAGAGTTTTAGAGGTTACATCATGCTGCATAAATTTTATCTCTTTGAACAAGTTTGTACTTGTCGGCTTGACCACTTTTAAATCCTCACTGCCATCTACCGACAACGATGGAAAACAAAATAACAGCATCAAATATATGTACTTATTTTTTGTAGTGTACTTTCATAAAAATGAAAATACTTAAAATTAACCAAAACAATAATTAAAGAATATGTTTTTTTTTACATGCTTAGCCCCTCACTTACGTTTATACATAAGAATATTCTTTGGTTTTAAACATCTATTAATTTTACTTCATCCTAAATTCCTAATATAATGTCACATGTAAAAGTTGTTTTTGCCCAGAATTGTAGAAAACATTTTTGTATGAAAGACAAAATACGTCATACAACGTAAACTTTACGGAAACGCATGATTAACATATATTTATAAATATCACAATAACATTTATAAACAAAATTTATTAAACGAAATTCCTACACTTACCCTCATATAACAGACAGCAAGTGTTCTTTTAGGTATTACAATTTTTAATCTTACAAAAAACATTTTTAATGAAATCAAAATATATTTACACACATATACAAAGATATACTAGCACAAGTTTTTTCTAAAAAAATAAGCAATGTAATGTTATATATACCAAAACAAAATATATATTTGAAATCATGTTTCATTTCAATATTGTTGATAAAAGAAGAGTAAACTCAAAACTCAGAAGCTACTAAGTACAAACACAAGAACTAAATATTTAACTTGGAACTTAATACAGGTTCACAACTAGATGTACTTTTTTATAGAGCCAGTTTTTAAAATGTTAAAAGCTCTCATCTAAGTGTTTTAATTGTGACCCAGGGATTATTTTGTAATACTGCTTAGTTTCAAATTTATCAATTCATATGAAAACATGTTATTTTAATTACAAAGTTTCATATTTGCAGAGAACAATAAAATTAACAATATTAATTTATGAATTATTTTGGTAATTTTAGGAGGACTGTAATTGATCTCTTTAATAATTTCCCACACATGTTAGTAAGAAGGTCGATTTATATTGTCTAATGACATATTTAAATAAAAAACCTTAAATTTATTAAACGTAAACATTGAATGTGACAGCGATATCTCTGGAAACATGTGGTGGGTTGGAGTACAGGGGAATATTGAAGCCTTATAATAAAGAAAAAGGTATCATTAGGTTTGTTTATTGAATTTTGTGCAAAGCTAATTGAGGGCTCTCTGCACTATCCATCCCTAATTTAGCAGTGAAGGCCATCACTCACCATCAACTCTTGGGCTACTCTTTTACCAATGAATAGTGAGATTGACCGTCACATTACAACACTCCCATGGCTGAAAGGGCAAGAATGTTTGATTTGATGGGGATTCGAACCCGCAACCTGCAGATTGCGAGTTGAGCGCCCTAACCACCTGGCCGTCCAAGATAAGAGAACAAAATAAAATTTACCATACTCAAAAATATTAGGTGATAGATTTTAATGTTACATTTAAAATGCAAGTGAACTGGATTACATATTAAGATTTTTTTCTGTCAGAGTAGTCATATAAATTAACATCAAGTTAATAAATTCTAAAGATAACTGTTTTTTCTTTGTATTTTATGTCTTCAACTACTATCTTTTTTGAACTTCATTCACACCTAAGAACTGCATTTTTTATCAGTACAAAGAAATAAATTAATTTATTTTTATATAACCAGTTACTCTGCTACTAAAACAACTTATGATGAATGACTGCATCAGCATATAAGGTGGTCTTAAAAACTGCCCAAAAATTAATATTTCAAAATACATTTTGAAAAGAAACTTTTTTAAATTATATAAACAACACTAAAATTGAACATTTCTTGAGTTTCTCTTAATACCTTGTTTGAAACTTGATACATGAGACCAATGTTGTTATTATCAGTTCTCAAGGGTAATTATTTTTTTTAAATAACAAGGCCTTTCAAAAACACTTGCTCAAGGCTTCTAAGATTCTTCCTTAGTTTTCACCATGTCTGACCAGTTGACAACAGTGCCATTGAAGAGTGGCTTTAGCAAAAAAAAACCAAAAGTTAATATTTAGTGTATTTTTCTCTCTATCTCCCATTTTCCTTTGATATTTATATTTTACATCTCTTTTCCTTACTAATTTTTACCTTTTTCTCCTTTTCCATGACCAAACGTTCTTTTAGAATTTTCAAAATCTGAAAACTACTCCCACACTTTTTGGACACTTATTTTGAAAAATATTTACCTATCATGAAAACACTACAGCAAGCTTAACAATGCATTGATATCTATGCTACATTTTTTATAGAACTGTATTACCTAAACTGATTATTTGTATATGATTGTTATAATTTTATTAAAATAAACAAGTGTCAAAAGCAAAATCTTTAAATTGATAAAACCTTATTGTAATTTACAGTTGAAGTCAAAATTATATTAATAAACTTTAACACAGTTTTTTGTTTACAAGGTTTTAAACTGTAAAAATCAAAGAATTTCAACTTTTTTTTTTCCAAAGTTTTGATTTCCTACAAGTATAAAGAGACTTCAACATCTAAACCCTCACGAGTTTTGTTTGTTATTTATGTGTTATAAATAACTGAGGCCTGTATATACAATCCCAGTTTGTACACAAATATTCAACTACCCTAGTGATATTTACAATGGTGTGGATATGATAGTTGTTTGCTGGTATATTTCTTTGGCAACTCAAATGAATAGCAAATAATGTATATATTATATACCAAGAATTATGCACAAATCTTAAAATGACTTTTTTCTTCCAATTTTTACACTTGAGACGTGTAACAATCTTCCTTTTAGGAGAAATAAGAAAATGTGACACATTAGCGAGAACAAAGTAGGCTTAACTCAGGAAGACTACCTTCAGTGATACAAGTTTACATGATTCATTTACACTGGTTTTTTATAGGTGTTATGTGATTTTTTTAGATATATAGTCTACTAACTCTCCACAACAAATTCAAGTACCTAGAAAGTCATCAGTAATGTTTTACTGTGCATTATTCCATTGTAATATATCTACATTATTCACTGAAAATTTAAAGTATTAATGTATATGTAAATATCTATACATAATTACTGTGTGAACAAAAAAAACTATTAAATCTTATACATGCAATAATTATTTATTTTACGTGTGTTGAATACTACAGCTGTATTTTGCTGTGGATACTTCAGACAGATAAGTTGTAAATTGAGGTTCAACTTTGTTACTCTCTCTCTACTACTAGACATTCTAATGCATTTTAACTTAAATATTCTGATGAAATTTATTACAGAAACTAAAAACTTTTCACCAACTGCTATAACTAAAACAAAGGTCTTAGATGTCATTTGAGTAAATTTTATATTTTTCTCTTATTATAATTCTGCCTCAAAAAATACAAACAAATTGTAAATTTCTTTAATAAAATTTTACTTTTATCACATAGCATTATTGAGCAGTATTTTTTAGGCTGTTTATATTTTAATAGCAGTGAAATAGTTATTCTAACAACTAGCATTACATTTATGTTCTTTATCTTAACAAGTCAGTAAATTCCTGCAAACAATGTTTAAGTTTTTATTCAGATTACTTTATAATTAGAAATGTAAGTACTTTATTTTTAAAACATCTAACAAACATACTATAATAAGTCAACTTCATATGAAGAACATTTTCCACAAAACTCATAAAGAAGTTTCTTTTTCACTGTTAAGGTACTTTACTTCTCTACACAACATCATCGCACTGTTTTATAGCTCAGCTGTAAGTCACTGTTTCTAGGGTAAGAAAATATGATGAAATGTATTACGTAAATACATGAAGATAATCTAAAATTGGACGCCTACAAATAGGACATCCAGATCCAAGTACAATTATAGCTGATCTGCATGCTTGGCATAAACAAAAATGACGACATGGCAACAAAATAACACTCTTTAGTTGATCTTGGCATACAACACACAGCTGTCTCTCTCTTTCTCTCTCTAATTCAACTTTCAAACTTGCATCGTTATCTTCATCATCCGATTCTTCAAGACGTATTGTTGACAATGATTTCCTTTTGCTGGGGTTTAAATTTGAGAGTGGTTGCTCTTCTAATTCCTGTTGCTGTTCATGTTCTTCAAAATGTTCATTTTCTGTTCCCTGGTCATCACTTTCTTCATCATCAGACTCATTCTGTTCATTTTCATAAAATAACCATGAAATCAGCCACTGATAGAGATGACTAAATAAAGATATAATATAATTTATCATACTTTTAAGATGTTGAGGCACCTGAAAATTTGGAATAAAAATTCCATGTTGCACAACATAATTCACTCCAGTTTTCATTACATAGAAACTAAGCAATGCTATGCCTAAACCCATATAGGCATCAATAGGAATAGAAAAAAATGCATCACGGCATTTCTGGTCAAAATTGGCAACTGTAGTATTTATTTTGTGAAAAACTTCAGAAATGCTAGAAAAAAATTTTAGTACAATTTCAAAAACTGATAAAATGGATATTTTTATGGTATGAATTAGCATATTTGGAATTGTTTGAAAAAGCAACACAAGAGAAGTACACAACAACTTCAGACTATGAGTTATAACTTCAAAGAAAGCTGTAAACTGATCTTGAATGGCAAAAATAATACCAAAGGCAAAACTTAATAGGCTGATAATCAAGTTTCTTCCAAGAGTCACAACACTAGCACAAGCATCAAGAAACCCTTCCCCTAAACTCCACAGAAAGTGAATAACCACAAATATTCCTTCAAAAATCTCTTGTACAAATTGTGAAAAATCTTCTAGAGCACATACAATTCCATTGACACAAGTACATATTAAGAATTTAAATAAATTCCATATTGATAGACAAATCTCAACAATGTTGCTTACAATGGTGTAGTTCACGTTTAACAAAATGCCAAATGTCTCATTCACACCTGAGAACATAAAATTCAAAATATAAGCTAAATTGGATATGAATTCCATGGCTTCAAGCACATATACTTATCAATATTATGATCCGGTTTAACGACAAAATCAATACAAGTATTTTTAGTAGTAATAAACTTTACTCTCTCTGTCTCAGGTTTTAGTAGCACGTATACAGCGTCAGGAAGATCTAATTGTGATACATCACATGATACAGCGTGAATAATAGTGATACTGTTTCTTATGTTAATAACTGAAGGAAATTAATTAAAAAACACGCATTTAGACAATACTGTTACTACAATAATTCTTACTTTGTTTAAAATCAATATTTTTTAGAACACGTTCATTATACTGACATGAAAATATATCGTCCCATGCTTTTGTTACACTATCACACTCTTGTATTTTAAACTCTGCACATCGTTAACATTCTGACGATATCGCCCTCTTGTGTATAAAAACATTTTTTTAATAGTTTCGTTTTGAGTTTATTTAATATGTAAGTATTATTTTATTACAAGTTACAGCTTTTACAGTAAGGAAGATTAATTTTTAGAACAGGTACAATGCTACAATCACTTGAGAATGATTGCACAAGTGATCGAAACATCGTACCTGTTCTAAAAAATAATCTTCCTTAGTGTAAAAGCTGTAACTAGTAATAAAATGTATTTTTAATAATTATATATTTAAATTCAGATGAAATAGCCGCCCAGAAAAATACATTTAGAAACACAAATGGCACTCCACTCCAGTATAATGGAGAAATTCAAAAAGGACTAACTGGTCTAATTGAATATGAATATCACTTAGTGAAGTGCTATATAGTTGTATTAATTTGTTTATGGTAGTTAACTAAGTCACTGTTATGATATCTAAACTACTATCTATGAATTTCAATCCCTACTGATAATTTCACCCACTCATGAATATTTTATTTTGATTCAATCAAAATATTTTGAATTCTTCTTACCAAAAAACAACAAAAAAATTAAACTGTATTTTCTTGGATATATAATGTCAATTTCTTTCATACTCTTATCCTTTCACGAAAAGTCACTAGGTGCAGAATATTTCAATTTCAAAATTGAACATGTTCTCACAAGTATTAACGAAAATAGCGTGTGCATTGTATTGTTACGTCTCCGTTTTTTAATTGATTTTCCGTAACTTCGTACCGACGAAACTTAAGCGACACAAGCCTTTACTTCATAAAACTGGTTTATTCTTTCCGAATATAACTTAACCGATACACTC